CAGGACTTAATTGCCAGCAACCCTCATCATCCAGCTTTTGGTGAAGGGAAGAAAAGAAAACAGCATTTACTATTATGTTCTCCAGGTTCTTGCTTGTTCTTTCTCTTATTCACTGTGCTTTGCAGCTGGCGGGTAAGTTGCCTCCTGTAAAGGTGTCTGTGAAAGTGCTTCCATGTCCTCTGGCATTTCTGGGTGATCTATGGTTCTGTGGCAGTGCCTGTATGTACATTATTAGTTTGGGACATACACATGGGGAGCCTCTTAATGGCAGGCAAGAGGCAAGGGCAGGATCTAACAGAAAAAAGAAATAGATAGAGAAGGAAGCAAAGACTGAATTCTTAATGGCATTATTCATATGTAGTGGCACTATAGCCCAGAAGATCAGACCTAAGAAAATAATGAAATATGTTTAAATGTCTATTTTTTTTTAATTCTTTACTTCTGTGTTCTGATTTTTGAGCTATTTGTGTCTCAGTAATGGTTAGCAAAATCAGGTAGGCAAAACTTCAGGAGTGGTGAAACGTGGAATTATTTGTAGGACATTAAGATGTTCACAGAGGATGGCTGTGCAATCCAGAGAGACTTAGTGCTTATAAAGAGGATTATTTTCATTCACTCTTTTGAACAGACTCACTGAATTCACTGGCATTGATAAAGTGGATGAAGTAAAATTTTTGTGAAATAAAGTCAGGTTAAGTTTAGGAAAGTTATTGTGGAATTGCAGTGACAATATTATTGCCATCCCTTTAACTGTGCTTCCATTGTAGGTGTTAAATAGATGGCTTCTGGAGACCTGAATGTTAAGGTCAAATCGTTTTAGTTTTGTAACTAACTCCTGAGTAAAATTGTTACAGATTGCCTCAGAGTATGTGGTGTTTTTTTTTAATTGCCCATGGTATCACTGCAAGCCAGAATAATTATTTTCAGTGTACTGTATATTATCAACTAAATTGATTTCAACTTTTTGCAGGATTTTTAATGAAATTTCTTTAGCTTTTTAAATACATTTTAATTAAATATGATGCCCAGTGATCAAGAGATGTATCAGGGACCAAAATTGATTATGAATCCCACAAGCTTTGGAGGGAAATACAACCAGGTGGGTCACAAAGTATACCACAAAGCAGCAGAGCAAATTCATAGGCATGATTCACTACTGCTACTGATAACTCACTGTAGGACTGAAATTAGCTCAGCTGCTTCTACTGTACATTGGAGCCAACACTGTAGACATGATCAGAGAAACTACCTGTAGAGCTAGGGACCCCAATTTCTGGTACAGGTGGACCTTCTAAGTTCCACCAGCCTTTCCACATTGCCAGGTGTTGGTCAGATGCCACTACTACCCAGTCCTTGCTACTTTCTCAGGCTGTGATTGGTTTTCCAGTGTCATTCCTAGTTTTGCATTGCAGTGGCTCATAGTAGATACTGCAGGTCTTGTAGATCAGCAAGGCCAATGAGCCCAAAGTACCTGCTGTGAGGCCAAGAGGTGTTCACCCACATTTACATGGTGAAAAGGAAAGGAAACATGGATTTGGGAGTGGGGAGACAAATGGCTAAGGAAAAATGGCTGTAACCCCACTAGGAGACCTGTAAGATCTGGCAGAGTAAGGAAGGCTTATAGAGGTCAGCGATCTCCAAGGCCATGCATCTGAGGATGGATGGAAACAGGGTAATGGTAATAGCAGTGTGGTTGAGGGAATTCACGTAACTGATGTAAATCAAACCAATAAGCTGTGCTCAGCTCTGCTGATGCTGCTGACTGCACTAATCTACAGTATGGTGACATATAATCATGAAATACATATCCTATTGTCTACCTTATTGCTTTTTAACCAGTAAAATTGATGTTGCACTGGACTCTGCTCAAAACCATCATGTTTTTATCTGATATGAATGCAATGACTCCTCGTTCATGTGAATGGAGAGCAGAATCATGTCACATATCCACTATACATATATTCTGTATTAACCATTTACTATGTACTGTTTTGTTTTACAGACATTGAAACATTTTTAATATATAATAAAGTCAGCAAGCTCTGTCTTCAGGCGTCTATTGCGCAGTCAGTTAGAACTGCCACTTGCCATCAAGACAATGAATCACAAAAATTCAGGTGGATCACTGATCATCAGCTTATGAGTGTGAGACTGAACGTATGCCTGGGGGTGCCGTCAAAGGAGGATCAGGCTGTGATCGCCCTGTATCCTTGTAATCGAACAAGTGAGCTCCAGTGGTGGGAATGCAGAAATGAAAGCCTCCTTGCAATCAAAGGAGAAGATTTGTTTTTTGGTCCTGGCAATGAAGAACACGATAATGTTTTGTTAAAGAAGGGCCTGAGTGCAAAGAATAAGTGGAAGATCTATGGGGCCATGGATGTTTTATGTTCCCGGGGATATGAAGGTATAGAAAATTGATTCTTTCATCCTTTGCACTAATTTCTTTGTGAGTATTAGAGTGTTTTGGATCTTTGGCTTTGACTGTTCTGATTCCTTCAGTGACCATCACAGTTTTAGAAAATCAGTGTACTGAGGGAGTTAACCTTGAATTTAATGTCATATTTATGGCCAAGTATGTATTATATACGTATATATATTTATATATTATATAACAGACACACTATTTTAGCATATGTATTATAGTATATTAGTATTACAAGTATTGCAAGTATTACATATACTCTATATTCTCTAAATATATATTATATTAGTATACACAAATATACATACTTACTTACTCTTATACTATATATAAGTATTCTCGAAAGTCATTATTGCTCACCGTACTGTGTCACTACATTGTTAACAGAGAGCATAAACGCTGATAAGTTTCTTATACAGCAACATGGAAATGAAATTACATCCTCAAGAAAGAAGCATAATATGGGTGAGCTGAGAAAGGGCTGGAAGCACCAGTGTAGGCAGAGGAAGTGTGGCTTTTGTGACTCAGCAGATGAGAATGCTTATGGAATAATTATAATTACCATTGCAATTACCCTTTGTGATTAGCTGAAGTCTGATTGTTCTGAATGGCTTTCCCACATCCAGGATGAATGTTCTAAAAACCACCTCACAAGATATTTGAAGTATTAAACTCTGAGTCTTGCATGTGGGAGCTGCTCCAATGTATGTGAGATACTTAAATGGTCACTGGAATATCCAAACAGAGGTGGATTGTCTATTTTCTAATTTTGTTATGGTTATGGGAGAGGTAACATGAAAAGCACTTTGAGATGCAATTCAGCCATTAGCATAGGCTTCACATTTTTACAGTTTACATTCATTTATTATTTTTCATACTACCTTTCTCATTTTGTCTTCTCAGAGACATTTACACTGCTAGGAAATGCTTTCGGGGCACCCTGCGTATTCCCTTTCATGTACAATAAGCAATGGTACTCCGAATGCACCAATGCTGGCCGGTCAGATGGCTGGCTCTGGTGTGCAACCACTGCAGACTATGACACAGACCAGCGATATGGATTTTGCCCATCAAAAGGTAAGTAAGTTACCTGTTCCCATGCAGTTCCCCTCAATGCAGTATTGGCAAACCAGCACTAGCAGAATATGTATGTCTTTATAATAACGCATAGTTTACAAGAATGTATTTTAGTGTGTGATGCATTGCCACATCCCGCAGCTCTCTATGCAAGGAAATAACACATTCCATAAAGATGTGGAGAAAAGTGTGATTGAAGAGTAAAACAGCATGTGCTTCCCACTAATTGTGGGGGTGTTGTTGAGCAGCACAGTAATTTTGAGCTCCTCGCTGTTTCCCAGCCAGGATGTGTGCTGTCACTGTTGTACAACCCTTCTCTGAGGACCCTCGCTGCAATGGATGTGGGCACAAAAATGAGTGCTGTAGGAAGATTAATGATGAAGTTAACATTTCAGTCTGCATAATTCTCATGTGAATATTTTTTTACTTAAGTGGAATGTGTCCTTTTATTCATGCTATTTATTAAGCCCTATCCATACTGCCTGGGAAGCAGTCTTTACCCCTTCAGACAACTGCCTCCCATCCCTGGCATTTCTCTACAACTTCAATCACTTTCTGAAAACTGTCTTCTATTTCTGTGGTCACTTCCCCCCCATCTCCCTTTATGGACTTGCTCTTGACAGGGGAGCTCTTCATTAAAGGCTTTGAAGACTCCTCCTGACACTTCTCAGCTTTCCCCTATATTCCTCACACTTCTCAGGTTTCCCTTATATTCCTCCCCATTACTTCTGTTCAACATTATGTCTTTTATTGTTAAAACACCCCTTTATTCCAGTTGATTCAAAACATGCTTTTGGTGTGGTTCAAATCCATAGTCAAATATGCTTTCCAGGTTCCTACAAAGATACCTAGGACACTGAGCAAGGAATGTGAGATAGGGTCAATGAATAATTTTCAAAGCTTTTGAAAGCCAGTCCCAGCTCTCAGTTCTTTTTTTAATTCAACTTCTTACCGACTTCTGGGAATAATCAAATATCTGATTCAATTTTGTATTGTGCTTGATTGACCATGTATAGATCGTCAACAGACCAAAGACGCAAAGGTAATCAGAAGAGGAGTACAATGCAGCTCAGCACCATTGCAGTGCCCTGGCTCTGAAGCTGCGTGACAGGCACATCCAGAAGCTCTTTGCAAGAGGGGGATTTATCTAAGAATTGTTTTGATTCTAAATTCAGGTCTAGAGCTGGTTCTCACAGCTCTCAGTGGGAACTGCTGTCTGGAAAGAGAAGGAAGAGAAGTTTTTTACAGCTTTCACCTAGGATTTCTGCCACAGCACTCCATGCAATATATTTTTTGATGCAATCACTTCCCTTGTAGTAATTCCTGAATTGTGTATCTTCATGGAACAGGAGGCAATATTTGCCAGCTCTACCTGTCAGTTTACAGGCCTTAACTTCGTTCTTCCCCATCCTGCTCGTGACATTTTCAGTGCTCTTGAAAGAACAGCACAGGTGACATTTAATGAGAATGCCATGCATAACAAGAACCTGCAGCACATTTTTCTGTGGGTGAGTTACTATCAATCACCCCCAAAATCATTATTTTCTCCACAGATAAAGACACCACCTGGAGTACAGATCTGTTAACAAATGCTCACTACCAAATAAACTCTGAATCGGCTCTCACGTGGCACCAAGCCAGGAAGAGCTGTCAGCAGCAAAATGCAGAATTAATGAGTATCACAGACATTCATGAACAAACATACCTTGAAGGTAAGCAAGTAAAGCAAACCTGACTTACATTCAAGATTTGTTCAGTCCATCATCACAGCTAAGGACTATTTAGTATTGTTTTGGCTAATGTCTATGGACCTAAATATGCATGAGTAAGTAACCAAATCTTTTAGAATTTGCAAGTTCATACCAAAATCGCTACCAAGTTTAAACAGAATTGAAAGTATCCCAGCATCCTGCAAGTGTAATAGTTTGATTTGCTATCTAAAAATGTTGTCTTATATTAAAACTTACTTTTTTTTTTTTTTTTAAGACGAAAAAAATTCTGAAAAGTAAATGAAAGTTTCATTTTTGGTCAAAAGAAACCTTTAAAACAAATTAAAAATAGGAGAAAAGAGGTACCTTTGTGACAAAAGAAAGGTGTTCTGTGTGAAATGCAGTTTGACATCTGGTTTTTTTTTCATTCCTTTGACAAACTGAAAAATTATTATTCATAGATCCCAAATCGTGGGTCTACCTACCCATGTATTGCTGGAGGAATGGTATGGAAGAAACTCTCTGTTGTTATCTTTACTGATGAATTTAACTTTTAAGAGCTTTATTATTATTGTTTATACTTACACTGTACCATTTTTTCTACTTAAATAAATCCAATGTTGTACAGAATTTAGCCTATTTTACAGAAACACTTTCATTTTGGATATACTCTGTGGCATCTCATCTGTGCTCGTTTTGCATTAGGCGATAGAATAAGAGAGGGGTGGTTTTGTTTGCTTTTTACAGTAATCAAAGCTTTGGCATATTTCAATTTATCAGGTATCTCAGTATCTAATGATATTTTTAATTAGATATTTAAGAATTGTAAGTGCCCTAGGGACATTATTAGTGACTATTGCTAATAAGAAGTGATTTATAAAATCATTTATCTTCTTTTGGTTACTTAGAGTTAACAGAAGGTACAGATTCTCCACTGTGGATTGGACTCAACAGACTGGACTTGAGGAGTGGATGGGAGTGGATTGGAGGCAGCCCTTTCCAGTACTTAAACTGGGCTCCAGGTAGCTGTGTCTTTGATTCTGTATTTCTGAAGAAAAAAATATACATACCTCAAATACTGCTTTAAATTCTATTATCAGCTAGATATGCCACGAGATATGTATTTTAGCTTCTCGTGCTTTAGCTTTAGAAAAAGCTTTTTTCTATAGCAATATAGGCCTGAAACTTCTATGTATTGCAAAAATATTTTAGCTCTGAAAGCAATACTGTCTTTCCCAAAAATATATAGTTGTCCATTTCTTGTTTCTAGCAACAAAACTACGAGGGGGTTACATGTTCATATCCACTTAAATGATACTACATTTCATACAGACATTCCCACTACCAGAGACCTACCTCAGTTCTTGCCACAGCTGGGCAAGATGTGATCTTTGGGGCTCTCACTTCAGCCAGGAGTGATTTCTCCTGTGCATTTTAGAGCTTAGAGCTCTATTTGCCTCTCAGAAGAGTTCACTTTTTTTTCTGTACCTTTCCCAAAGGAAGCCCCTCTCCAGAATCTGGAAAACTCTGTGCGGTTTTGAATCCTGAAACAAAAGCTAAGTGGCAAAATTGGGAATGTGATCAGAAACTTGGTTACATTTGTAAGAAAAGAAACTTTACCTTGGTTCCCTCAGGTATGTTGATATACGTTGATAATTAAAAGTAGAAGCTGTTATCTGAATTGCTCGCACATTGACAAAGATGAGCAGGAGAATGTTATTAGAAATAGAAACTATTTCTTGTTTATCTGGTTTGCTTTTTACAACCATCGCACCCTTTCTAGGCTGATCTCCAGTCCCACAACACACAGAATGAAACAGGTAAAAGCAAAGAATGTCCAACTTGTCCCATCTGTCTGTGTTTTGGTAGTTGGGTCTCCTCTTTGAATACACACACTACTGAGCATGAAAAGGGAGAACAAACCAAAAATAATTTTTCAGAAGAGGGACATTAGTAAAATTAAACAAAAGGAAGAAAGATTCACACATTGAAAAGATAAAAGATATTTTAAGTGTATAAAGATTTCCCTGTTGGTGTTTCCCTATGTATACGTCTAGTTGTAAATCTGTCTAGATGACATTTACTCTATCAATATACTTAATCTTTTAAAAATGCATAAGCATTCTATGTTAGGTGCAGATAATTTCTGATTTCTCTGATCTGACAAATAAGTAGAATAATACAGAAGCTGTTAAAATTACTGCATTAGTGTATTTGTTACAGACATTTGACTACATAAGAACTTGAGAATTTGTATTTAATAATATTTATATTAAAAAGCTTTCCTTTTCCAAGTAAAAAATGCCAGACTTAGAATCATATTTTTGTTTACTATGTTTTGTGTCCATCATTTCCTTGTAATGAGAATTTCCAAAGAAAATTTTTAGTTTAGAACTTTTGCACAGAATAAGTGAAAATATTTTCAGTGTCATGTCCCTTGCATGGCATTTGAACTCCTCTAAAACACTGATATTTGATTTGTTCCTAGGTGACATTGGGCCTGTTACTTGCCCAGATGGGTGGGTACCGTATATAGATCACTGTTACAAGATGTTCAGGGAGACCAAAGGATGGGAAGAAGCTTTGACTGCTTGTCAGAAGGAAGGGAGTCACCTGGCCAGCATCCAAAGCCTTGAGGAGCACAGCTTTATGGTGTCTCAGCTTGGGTACAGTGAGTGTTGCCAGTGGGGGCTTTTGCCTTTGTCTGCATGTAAGAAGCACCAGCTAGCTGAATTGAGATGTAGCATTTGTATTAACATGAACACTGCAGTCAAGGACGTGCAAGGAGCCACAAGTCCAGTGGCGTTAGGCTGGTGCAGTGCTTTCCTTTCTGCTTCAAAATGGATGCCACCTTCAGTGCTGCAACTTGCAGACTTACACAACTGTCTTGACTTGTGCTTTGCTTTGCATGAGGGTAGAAGGACATCAGTCATCCCAGTGAGAAGCTTTCTTAGTGAAAGGATTATGAAATATAATTTCCACTTTGAAAGAGTGCTTTTTATGGAAAACCAAGATATTTATACTGCTTTCTGTGCATTTGGGGAACTTACACTGTGGCTCTAACTCATTCTGTGTGTCTTGTGGTCAACCAGCACCCAGATTAGCAAGTTCACAGGTCTCTGCAGAAGTGATGGAAGAAACCTACTAAAGAAAAGTTTAGTTCTCTACACTGCCAGATGGAAAAGATCAGCAAAGCTAGCCAAGGTGGTTTCCAGGCAGCAAGCTGTGGAATTGCCTGGGCTGCCGAAAGAACCATACTCAGGTCACTGGATCTAACACGTCAGTGTGGTCTTGCCATGGCCTTTTTAATACCCTTGGCAGAAACGTGAGGAGTCTGTAGACATGTTGCTACTTTTTGCCCCTGTTAACTATTTGCATTTCTTCTTTTTTCATGCTCAGAGGTAGTGAAAGCCTTAATTAACTATTGAAAAAGTGAAAGATATTCAGGACAGAAAAAATTCTTTCTTCAGAAAGAGTAATTTGTCTGCTTAGTGTCCAACCATACAAGGAGATATTTGGGGGTTTTTTATACTTTTTCATTCTGGTATCATACCCTAGTTTAGTGACTCCTGAAGAAATTGTGAATATCCTTCCATATCTTTCTTTCTTTCTCATTTTTGTGAATGCTGCCTAAATTCACCTTTAATTTTCCTTGCTTTTCTTTCATAAGAATGCCTAAAATCACAGGATCATACATTGGTTTAGGCCAGACGGAACCCTGGAGGTCATTTGGTCCAGTCTCGGCTTGGAGCAGGGCCAACCTCAAAATTAGATCCGGTTGCTGACAGCCTTCCCCTGCTGAGTTTTGGATGTTGTGAAAACTGATTTTACTTATTGCCTGAACAATTGATCTAGGGCTGGGGGACTGGGCTTAGGGGTCTTCTCTGCTTTTTTCATCATTGTGTTGAAAGAAGCTTAAAACATTCACTCTTCAAGTTACATAAAAACAGTATTTTAAAATCTGACCTGTGGAACAGAACCTAGAAGTAACTATTCACACAGTTGTATCATACCACCATAATGTATTAGAATTAGGCTGGGAATCCACTCCTCTCCCACTGCTATGAGGAAGAGAAGCAAAATTTTTTGATCCAGTGCAGGGATTTCACTACAACCTAATTTTCCAAAGCATACTGTCTTTATTCTAATATCTATGTGAAAATATTAATTTATAAAATGATCATGCAACACACTAAATTATGTTATGTTTCATAAATTTATGACAGGGATTATATGTTCTAGAGTTTGAAGGTGCTGTGAAAAGAATGCAGTGGCATGAGAGGTCTTTTCTAGTTCTGTGTTTCCATGCTTTAGAGCCAACAGACAAGCTATGGATTGGGCTGAATGATCATAAGGTTCAAATGTATTTTGAATGGAGTGATGGTACGCCAGTTACATACACAAAATGGCACCTGGGAGAGCCATCCTCCACAAACAACAGGCCAGAAGATTGTGTACTGATCAAGGGCCAGGTAAGATTATGCAATATATATTCTACTTTAATATTGAAACTAACTTCTTAATAAAAGTGCCCCGCTATTTCAGCAACTGGCTAGGGCCAGAAAAAGGCGTGTGGGGACAAAGAATGAGATTAAATATGACTTTTCATTAAAAAAAAAAAAAAAAAAAATAAAATGAAAGCATTACTGCCTCACTGATGAAATTTTCTCTTTAAGTTAATCTGGAAGTCACCAATGAAATTATTAGGGCTATGAAACAGGTTTCTAAATGTAGTTTGAGTACATTCTCCTGCTCCTCTTCCTCTGGTGGTAATGGTGGCATGTGGGGATCCCTGCTGGCTCCTTTGTGCCTGCTCATTTGCCAATCCCTGCGTGGCACAACTGCCTGTGCAGGGCCCTGCAGAACAGGTTGGGGACCAGCTCCCTGCAACCTCATCCCTGCTTATCACAACCAGCTATAACTGTACTACTATAGCCCAGTCTACTATTTCCCTGAATGTGAGCAGATTTATTTTTGTTATCAACTAGAGGAACTGGGTAAGGAAAAAAAAAAATATATTGCTGTTTCAAAATGAAAGGAGAAAGAAAATGAATAGTCTTCATTATAAAGAAAGAAATTATTCATTTTCTTTAGATTATTCATCTTCATCTCATTGTTATTTCATTCTTTTTCCTGCCACAGGATGGCTATTGGGCAGATGATGTCTGTGAGAAGAAAGCTGGCTACATTTGTAAAAGAAAACCTATATCACAAATAGCTGGAGAAAAGGAAATTACTGATGCAGGTTGCAAAAAAGTAAGTATACAAGAACGGAACATCAATTTCCCAGATCAAATAAGTACCTTGTCTGACAATCATCTAGAATTATTTGAATTATTTATATTACTTACATGTAGGGGTTTTTCTGGTGTTATTTATTATGAAGTTTCTCTCTCTCTCAGCTACTTTAAACTTTAGAAAGCCATTTACAGAAATCACTTGGAAGGAATCTGTAATTTCACTGCAAAAGGTTTCTGATTCATAATATTAATGATTATTGTGCTTCATTCATTGTGAAATGGCATAGCTCACACTACATGATATCACAACTATTTAAAAGTTACATGGAAATCTTAAAATCATGTTACAGGGCTGGAGAAGATATGGGACTTACTGCTACTTTATTGGACGTGTTCCAGCAACATTTTCAGAAGCAAACACCACCTGTGAAGGAGAAAAAGGTTACTTAACCACAGTTGAAAGTAGGTATGATAATGACTTTTCCTTGGCTTTTAAATAGGTAAAGGTTGTATGTTCTGAAATATTCCTGGAATTACAATTCTAACACAACATCAAACAAAAAATTATCTAAGTTACAGATGAGGTCTCTGGTTAAAAAGCAAGATTAGGTCTTGCTTTTGTTTGTTGATTTATAGAGAGTCAGAATTGTATCGTAAGGTCCTCTCCCCCAGTCTGAAGCAAGGAGAAAAGGATTTATCTCAGATTAGACAAATAGGATTTGGATAAATGACTTTTTGTTTTCACTTGCGTCTTTATGATCCCTTTTACAGGTATGAACAAGCCTATCTGACTAGCCTTGTCGGGCTGAGGCCTGAGAAATATTTCTGGCTTGGTCTCTCTGACACGGAGGACCAAGGCACTTTCAGGTGGACCAACGGTGAAGCTGTCTCCTTCACGCACTGGGATGCAGCAATGCCTGGTAGGTGCTGTGACAGTGGATGGTAGGCACTCTCTGAGGTCGTGGTCCCTATCTGGGTTTGCATTGGCAGCGTCCTCTGAATTTTATGCTTTAAGCTTTCAGTATATTTTACAAGAACTGGCAGTTCTCAAACCCCATCTTTTAATTTCAAAGGGAACAATTTGAACTGTAGGTTTATATTAGGACATACGATATATTTACCCATAAGATTAACCTTTCGGCTCATCTTCACAACGAGATAAACAGGAGTTACAGGCAGTTCCTGACACTATTCCACACTCATCCCTCTAGCGGTAAAGTTAGCCTGGGAGAAGAGTCTGAAACAGAGCAGCTGTAATAAGGATTTTAAGTTAGAATTACAAAATCACAGTATCAAAAATGATCATATCATTTTTTTTTTTTTTACTTGTGATGCTAAGAAAACTGCATTCACGGGATCATACTGTGCAGAAGCACAGAAAACAAGATTTCAAAATGCCATGAGGGAATCTGCTTTCTCCAAGATATACTACATCCCTCCCAGTGATCATTTGTCTGAAAGCTTTCTCAAAAACCTTCAGTGAGGTTATAAAATGTAAAATAAAATAAAAAAGTAATAAAAAAATTGCAAAAGACATAGAGTAATAAAACTTCTGTAGATGCCATGAGAAGAAAGCTTGCCGGGGAGTCTATGGTGCCAGCAGATTCAGAGTATAAAAAGGGAGCACTCAGAGATCAGTCTGGAACAGTGAAGAAAAATTAGTTTCCTTGCATCTGTGTTCACTGAGGAAGAAAACTGGCTTTCCATCCTGGAAAGTTTCTTTGTGAGGGTATGATCAGAGAGTCTATTTCAAGCTGAAATACCGGGAGAATAGATTATGGAACAAATGGATGTCCTGAAGAATAGCAAGTCAGGACTAAGCACAGCTGCAAAAGCATCCAAGAGCCATAAAGGTTATATTAAGTGAACTGTGCACTTTAATGTGTAACTACCTGCTAAAACTGCCTTGAGAGCTAAGGGGTGAAAAAAGGCAAATTTGGTGCTAACATTTAAAATGGTTCCATGGAGATGTGGGGAAATACTGAGTCACTGGTAAATTAGCTGAATCTGTAATAAAGAATAGAATAAAGAAGATATAGTGAGATAGATATATAAAATTGCTTGTGTAAAGGGAGGTCATGCTCACAGATCTCCTGGAGCTCCCCACAGGAGTCAAAAGCATATGAATAAGGGAAATCTAGTTAGTGTGGTCTGTCTCAATTACCAAAAGCCTTTCGGCTAATCTGACCTGATACAGGAAAGCTCTTACATGAATAAAAATTTTGATCAAAAGGCAGGGAATGGAAGGTGGGTTTTTTTATGGAGGCTATTTTTTACTGCGGAAGAGTGTTCACCAGCAGAGTCCTATAGTGATCTGTGCCAAAGCCCATGCTGTTCAACATATTTACAGACAATCTGGAAAAGGTGAAATAGTGAGGTGACAAGATTTGCTGCTAATACTAAATTATTTATGATAGTGAAGATGTGCCTGTGAGAAAACGCAGGATGATATCAGGAGAATAAGTGACTGAGCATGATCAGTAAAACCGCAAGTGAACTTTGATGCAGTTAAAGTGATGCTCATAGGAACAAACATATGTCTTGAATTGACATAAAATGGTGGACTTAGAGCTAACCATTTCATTTCAGGAATCAGTTCTTGGCACCATGGTAGACAGCTCCATTAAAACATCAGGTCTGTGCTCAACAGGAATCAAAAAGAAACAAAAATGTTAAGAATACTTAGGAAATGAAGAAAGAACACAAATAAGCCATTGTATAAGGCCATTGTGTGCATTTGACTGCATCTTGTGAGATGTATGCACCTCTGGTTCCATCTGAGAGAATATATAAAAATTATAGCAAATGTCATGGGATAAGCTTCATCATGTCTCCGTCGAGATTTGCATGCTTGCCCTATGTATGCACTGAGGGTTTTGTTTCTATCTATATGAAAATCACTAGTGACCAAGGTTATGCTACCTGATATAAAACAGTCTTAAAGTAAGTAGGAGTGAGGTCCTCACTTGAAAACACAGGTTTTCACTGAAAAAAAAAACAAAACAAAAAAAACCAAACAACCAAACTTTCTACCCATAGAACTAATTATGCAGGTCATTCAAAATAAAAAAAAGCAGGATCCCGAACAGATCATGACCTCCTCAAACAGAAAATACTACTCTTTGCTTGTGTAAAAAACTTTTAAAATATAACTCTGCTATTCAAGTGTTATTGTATAGCAAGAAGCGAATGGCTGCTGCTCAAAGATTTTAAGTAAGAATTAAACAATTTAGACTGTGTAAAGTTTCCAACCTGTTTTTTGTTTCTCATAAAGGAAGTAATCCAGGATGTGTAGCCATAAGAACTGGGACTGCAGCTGGATTATGGGATGTTCTTGACTGTGAGACAAAGCAAAAATATATCTGTAAGCAGTGGGCAGAGAGTGTAACAGCTCCACCAATTCCAACTACTGCTCCGGTCCTCACATGTCCTGAAGGTTGGGTATCAAACCACCATAGTAGTTCCTGTTTTAAAGTAAGTCCCTAAATAGTTAAAAGAAGAAGAAAGGCTTTGAACTGCTTGGTTTGGGGGGGGTGGGGTGGGGGGGAGGGAAGCAAAAAAAAAAGGAAGTGACATCTTCATTTTGCAATGTCTGAGATTGGAATATTAAAAAAAAAACAAAACAAACAAACATCTCATTGGAGCAGAAAATGGAAGAGGAACATAAATATCAAGTCCTTAGAAAGACATAAAGAAAAGAGAAATAAGAAGAAACAGGAAACAACTTAATATTTGCAAAATTATTCGGAGAACAATGTCAAAATGCTGTATTAAAGACCAGAAGCAGCAAAGCTTGGCTGCTAGCATGGCTCTTTATATCAGTTGTGGTCACTAGGTTGTGCAAAGATCCCATATTTATCTGAGGTGTGTGAGAGTTCAGGGAACAAAGTAGAGAAACAGTGAAATGTATCTACAAGCAGCACAATGCCTAAGGCTGGATCTTGCTAAGATAAGCACATTACCCCCCAGAATAAAGCATAAGAAGTCACAGGAAAGGTTAATTAAACCAGTGTTTATGAAGGACATTTATTAGAGAGTTTCTGAGGCAAAGCTACTGATAACTCATATTTGAAGTACATTCAGTTATGCCTGAGCAGGCATACAAAAGGACTTTGAACAAGAAATGAGAGTAATGTGCAAACATTGATTTGGGATCGTGCAGACTAGAAATGTGCTAAGTAAGTGTGAGGTGTTAATATTTCTTATCACTTTATTGAATTAATGAGTCCTTTTCTTTTTTATTATGTGTTGTTTTTTTTTTTCCATTTCTTTCAAACTCTGCTGGAATGCTATTTACTTGGGCCCCTTTATCCCCAAATCACCATTTTTAGCTTTGGTCAAACTTGCACTTATTCTCTGTTAAACTACCAAAATGTTAGACATCATATTGCAAATGTAAAGTGAGAGTTGTAAACCACCATGAGGTCATTCTTTTGCCTGTATCTTCAGAGACCTCCCAGGCCACCTTGCATCTCCACCACAACCGCTCTCCTTTCCCTTCATCTGGAAGGTGGCCTGGGCCCTCCTCTAGGTAAAACAAGTTAAAGGGAATTGTATTCCCTTCTAGCAGTTCCTTCCCTTTTTTGTCAAAACTACGCTAACTAGCTAGACAACTCTAGTGCAAAAATTTTATGAACAGAGTAATTAATGCTGTTTCTCTTATGGACTTTACTTGGCCTGTATGAAACGTCATTTATGGGTGAACAAGACTATGATTCTTTATTTTATTATAACATATATAATATGTGTTAAAGTAATTTCTCCATAGTGTTTTTACAGATCAAATATTAAAAAGAAATCATGGTTTGAAGCTCGAGATTTTTGTAGACAAATAGGAGGGGATCTGGCCACCATTAACAGTAAAGAGGAGATACCGTTACTAACAAGAGCAATGTCGTGAGTATCTGCTGTATGTTAATCTTACCAGATTTAAGAGGTGTTTCATACGAACTATTATGAATGCTCTTAATTAAATACAAAACAAAACAGTATCATGATTACTAGGTATAATTTAGAAATACATGAAGTTATGGGGGGTGGTATTTTCAGTAGGGTAGAAGACATGGCCAATATATTTACTTTTGACTCACCTTGAAGTAGTCAATGCTGAGATAATTTTCTGAATCTGTGAAGGCATTTCCTAAGAAAACAGAACACAGAGGAAACACAGGATCAATGCTACTAATAAGTCTGATAAATAAGCCATTGCCACTGAGCCATAGAAATATTAGATATATCTATGAAGACTATATGCATCTGTATGCCCTTCAACAAAGGTAATATGGTAATTATTACAACCTCACTGCACTTTACAATGTGCTCTAGAAAGTTTAATGAGGTGTTTCGGGATGTTTTTTGTGTTGATGTTTACACACTGCTCTGCCTTGTAATTTCTGTTAGTGGCACTCGCTGTAGCTTTCAAAGAGTTTGGCTCGGTATATTTTCCTTGAATCCAGATGAAGGATTTGCCTGGAGTGATGGCTCTCCTGTGAGTATTTTAATTTTTCATCAAATCTGTTTGCTTAGGATGTTTTAGGGTTTGTACACATACTTTCTGGGTTTTTACTGTTATCAAAGAAAACACTAATCCTGCAAACATTTACATGGCTGTTAACCTTTATTATCAGGAGTAAAATCATGGCACCACATTTGAATACATGGAAATCATCTGTATCTCATCAGGATCTGTAGCTTTCTGCACAGCATTCCAACATATTTTCTTTTCCAAGAATATAATATGAACACATAACATCAGAACATAAAAATTCATCATACCGGATCTTGTATCCTGTCTCTGGCAGTGGCCAGAAGCATTTTAAGGGCTAATCAAACAGCAAGCATATTTCCCGTTATACTCCTGCATCTCCCAGTAAGTGATGGCTCAGGGTCTTTCAGAACTGGAGCTCAGATCAGTAACCTTAATTTATTTGTTTCCATGAATTTATCCAGTCACCTCTCGAGTCCATGTAGATATCCACAGATGTGTGAAATGTTCCTGCAGGCTTCCACTGAACCAGGGAGGTGATAGTGCCCCCGTACTTGGCACTGGTGAGGCCACACCTCGAGTACTGTGTTCACTTTTGGGCCCCTCACTACAAGAAGGACATTGAGGTGCTGGAGCGTGTCCAAAGAAGGGCAAAGAAGCCGGTGAAGGGTCTAAAGAACAAGTCTTACGAGGAGCAGCTGAGGGAGCTGGGGTTGTTTAGTGTGGAGAAGTGGAGGCTGAGGGGAGACCTTATTTCTCTCTACAACTACCTGAAAGGAGGTTGTAGCCAGGTGGGGGTTGGTGTCTTCTCCCAAGTAACAAGCGATAAAACGAGAGGAAATGGCCTCAAATTGTGCCAGGGGAGGTTTAGATTGGATATTAGGAAAAACTTCTTCACTGAAAGGGTAGTCAGTCACTGGAACAGGCTGCCCGGGGAAGGGGTTGAGTCCCCATCCCTAGAGGTATTTAAAAGACGGGTAGACGTGGTGCTTGAGGACATGGTTTAGTGGTGGACTTGGCAGTGATAGGTTAATGGTTGGACTCAATGATCTTAAGGGTCTTTTCTAACCTTAATGATTCTATGATTCTATGATTCACTGCTTATTACCCTCCCTTTCCTCCTGCTCTCTGTTCCCTATTTTTTAAGCCAAGCAAGGACGTTTCCTCTTATCCTGTCACACATTAGTTTCCATAAATGTTTTGGGAAGTGATCTTATCAAGAACTTTTTGAAAATCCCAAGTAGGTTATATCATGTGGTTCTCCCTTCCTATTTGGATGTTAGTTTCTTCAGAGGTAACTCCACTAGGTTTGTAGGACATGACTTCCCTCCCAAAAGCCACATTCCCATCCTCATTAACCACAGGGAAGGGAAGATGTGCATGCTGAATTGATGCATGATACGGTCACTGCCACCAGCCAGCTGTTGGACAATGTAATTTTGAACCAGGTCATAGCTGATGAAGTGAAAACTACCTTGTCTGCACATGATTAGCATGAGTGGAATGGGTGGGAAGTTCATAGCTAGGTGAAGTTCATTAGAAACAGTCCATTCGCCTGTTTCTATTCTGGCTGTGTCTAGGGCTTGAGGCGCAAACAAGAGGAAAAGCCCTCCATGGCAAGACAGCCTGATCTCCTGCTCACTGACATCATTGCCCCACTGTAAAAATTCTTATACCTATTGCTTTCCCTATGTTTGCACCTCTCTTTAGTGAGAGCCAGAATCTTTGAGACAAAACCAGTTTCTGTTTGCCAATGGAGAGTACAACTACTGAAACAGATGAAAAGAGTAACAAAGATGATTTCTTCTGTAGGTTAGGTACACAAACTGGGATGATAGTCCAAGAAATTCAGGAGGACGCAAGTTCTGTGGCGTATTCAACGGTGGGACTCATTCTAAACAATGGTTTCTTTCGGTCTGTGAAGTACAGCTTGACTGGGTTTGTCAAATTAAAAAAGGTAGATTTATTCTTCTCTTTAAGCAAGAAACTTAAATAACTTTGTAAGTAGTTGCTTTCTAATATAAGTTGCTGGAGAAAGACACAAAATTTTGAAGAACTGCTTTTTCCAAATGGAGGTCAAGAGCATTGTGTCACATAATATAGGCCAGGATCTTTCAATGATAGATGATGAGAATAAATAAATTCATTTCTTCATGTAAATTAGAGTGTTTGTGAGGGTTTTATAGGTTGCAGACTTTTTGAAAATGAAGAAGTTCTTGCTTGTATTTTTGTAATGTAGGAAGTAAGGAGTTGTGAATTCCTTACAATACTTGTTTTTAAACTAACACAGGTAAAGCTAAAAACCAAATACAATATGTTTGTATACCAAAGATTTAGTGGTGCTTCAAGTTCTCCTTTAACATTATTAAGGATTCAACTGCTTTTGGAAAAGCAGTGGTTCAAAGCAGTGGCATTTCTTTTTCTATCAGAACCAGAAATAACTCACAGTCAGTATATATAGTCATATTTCCTTTTGCTTATGAATATTTGGGACTGAGAATTTTTTGAGAGAGCTAAAGTAAATCTAGTGGAAATTTTCTTCCCCTTGTTAAGGAGACCCCTCTGGAGGATTATGGAATGTTTACTGATGAATCAATAAAGGGGCTGTAAAACCAAAGTTTAAAGTGTTTCAGATAAATCTACCATGACTTACAGACTGGAATAGCAATTTTCCCTTACATTGCTCTGCGCAGGAATGTGATCCATCCAAAGCTATGACTTTGCTGACGTGAAGCACAGCTTATGATACAAAATTATAAGTAGATCACCATGCATATTGCACACTGTGTAGCTGAAATGTGTGGTTAAGCCTGCTTTATAGTCAATGGCAAAGGAGTGCAGAATCCTGCCCTGTTCCTCACTCTGCTCCTTGCAGTCAGTCACAAGCTACATCATAAAACACACTGCGGAGATGCATCATGCCTTCTATTCTCTTGTTTTGCAGGAGTGCCATTAAAATCTGAACCAACTGACACATATGGTAGGTTTTTGCATAATTTATTCATCTTGTTCATTATTTTTTATCAAAATAATTATTCTAAAATGAGCTTATGTGTTCTGCAGATACAGAATTTAAAGCTACCTTATTTATCTTCCAGCATATAAAACCACTGCGGATGGATGGGTCATATATGAAGATAAGCTATACTACATCAGCAAAGAATATGTCTCCATGGAAAAAGCCCAAGAGTTCTGCAGGATGAATTCTGCAGACCTGGCTGTTGTTAATAGTAATAGTGAGAGAAGGTTCCTACAGAGAGCGCTAAAACAAAATGTAAGAATCATTATAAGCAGACAGCCTAAAGTAGAAACCCTTTTGACAATCTGCTTGCAAAACTTGAATTGCCTCAGAAGTAAAGCCATCAGCATTTCACTAACAAAATCTGCCTGAGCTGAGACCTATGAAATTTCCTCCAAACTCCCCCCTTGGTCCCATAAGATTTCGTTTCTCCTGCTCTGTGCCAGCTGTGCTGAGGTGGTAAGGCAGGCTGGTGAGAAAAGCGATGCAGGGAGGGTGCCAGCTGTGCTGGGGGAAGTAGCTGGTGTGAGAGGGAGACTTGAGGTCGGCATTAGACAATGCTGCAGTCCTGGAGGGAGAATGAAAGACGTGTACCAGTTTCTGACTCAAGATCTGCTTCTCTCTTACCCCATCCTAAGGGCCCTCAGCGCTGCAGGACTCAGCTCTGATGCGCCAGATAAAAACCTGGCTTCTGTGCCTGAGTGTGTAAACACATCGCTGTGCTTAAATGTAAGCATGTGTTTTACTGCTGTTGACTTCAGTGACTGCTCTGTGAACCTAATCAATGGCACATCCATTTCTGCCTTTTACTGCAAAGATTTTTTTTTTTTTAATTAAAATAGTATCTTTCTGTTTTAGGAGGAATCCTGGAGTCGGCCAAGAGGGTACTTCATTGGGCTAAAAGTGAGTCTTGATAAAAAGTTTAGGTAAGTTAAGATGATCACTGCAGCTCTTAACATGTAGAAACAAACACAGTATTTTATGTAGCTGAAGGTACTAAATGTGTTGTTTGCAAGGACTGAAGGCAGTTGCACATAAGGAGTACAACGCAGAATGTAATAGTCCTAGAATACTCTAAAGTCCAACAGTTTTTCCCAAAAAGAAACAGGAAAAGAACATTTTTTCTTGAGTAAACAGTTACCCAAAGAAAGGCTTGGCAGCTGTACTCTCCATACACACTTTCTCAAGTTTCTTTCAAAGATTTGGAGTGATACTTTACTATGTTGGATTTTATACCTATAAACACACACACACACACTTAAAATACGCTCCATACCATAGAGCCTAGCTTTCTTATGCTTTTTATCTATATATCATAACTTCAGAGAGGTCCTCCAGAATTAGGAAGATGTGGACAATGAGTACAAAAGCTTTTTCCGATAGAGATTTTTAAGGTAGCCTCTGCAAACTCCTGTTCCAGGAGAAAAGTCAGCAGAAGTTTACATTACAGTAAAATTCACAAGTATTGCAAAAAGACCAGCACACAAATAAACTCGAAACTAAAGCAAAAGATACTGAAGAGCATGATACAGACACTGCCTGCCTTTGCATCTGCTAGTTAGGACATATCTGGGAGGAGAAAGACCATGCTTCTAATCTTGACCTGAAATACATTTAAAGGAGATTTGAATTTAACCTTTCTATTTTAATGCCACTGTTGAATGACTGTAAATTGCTAACCTTGGAAAGGGCAAAAGAGGAGTGGGGAGAGAGAAGTTGGTAGTGACTGAGTCAGTGCATAATTCTGACCTCCTGATTTAGGACACAAATTAGGGAGATAAGGCATTGCTTGGGTCCAGTGAGCATCTCCTTTATTTAGATCAAGTGTATCAGCAGCAGCAAGAGATAGATGAGGGAGCTGAACTTGTTTCCCACTTCAGGCTGAGTGACCTAAATTCTGCAGTATTGATTAAAATGCAGTGCCAACCTCTTGTTCCTTCAGCAGCAATATATTAAAGTAAAAAGCATGTAGGCATAAAGAAAAAATGTCGGTTTTGATACTTCAGAAAGGGTGGTTTTAAAGCTGACAGAATGTCCATAAGTTTCCAGACACAAGACTTAATAGAAATAACCTATGGAGATATTTCTCTTCAGGGTAAAACCCACAGAAAAGTATTTTTGTCCTTGTTTGCATCTATGAAAACATCAGGAATGCTCAGACCAAGAAGCATAATATTAACTAGGTGATACAATGAAATCTGTTAAGATAAATAAAACTTTTAATATTCTTCTCTATGTTACATGTTATGGCTAACTGAAAATAGTTTCTGTTATTAAATGATGTTTGATCACTCCTGCCCATCAATGGAAAATATGCTTGGTGTTTTCTTTTTGTATTTTGCAACCAGTAATATTTTAAATAAATTTGTTCAAATTAGAATAATCAGGTAAGGAGAGGAAAATCTGTAACAGTCCTTCCAATTTTAGCCAGTTCCCATTAATGCTCATGGACCTTCTTAATTGAGAGATGATAATTAGGATTCTCATCTCACAATTGAAATGTATTAATTAATAACTATTTGTATATCTTTTCTTTAAGCTGGATAGATGGGACTCCAGTAACCTATGTGGCCTGGGCTCCTAACGAACCCAACTTTGCAAATAATGAGGAAAATTGTGTGATAATGTGGTCAGAGCAAGGTAAGTAACAAGGCTAAACTATTAGATTTTCCTTGTCTCTGCTTGGATTATAACTGATACTGTCCATCTTCTGCTGTCAGCTGTCACACAATATTTTATGGCTGTATTCTGCAATTCCTTTCCAGTGACAAGCCAATAAGATGCAGTAACTGGTGTAACCACCAGTCATGGAAGAGTCTATGTCCTTAGAATGGGGAGATTTCAGTACCATGTATAATGTAATGCAGATGTCTCTGTCTGGATTTATAAGATTGATATTGCACCTTTTTACAGGGCTTTTCACTACTTCTCTAAGTAAAAGGCTGGGTGGGATCTGTCTTCACTCCCATGAACTTAAGAAAACGTTTATGGCAGCTACAGGAAATAGAGGGATTGAAGGTAGAAGCCAACGAGGAGAGGAGAGAGACAGACAAATACATCTAATCACCTAAGTCTGTCTTACGTGCTTATGAGTACTCTTAAATGTAAATAACTTGCAAATCCTAGACCTAATTTTTCCTCTTGGTTGTATTTCTGTAACTTAGCTGAGGTTAATGGGAATTCGGTAATATATGTAGAAAGAAATCAATCTCTCAATTTATATTTTATAAAGAATTCACTCAGCAATCCCACCTGAAATTCTGCCTTTATATGAAGACACCAAGAACAAGATTCACTTTTCTAAACATAGGCATCTGGTCTGATTGAGTTGCATCCCTCCTTCTTTAGTTATTGATCCAGAAAGGGGCAGCTATCCCAACAGTCTCTGCCATATCTACCAGCTCTCCATAGATGGCTCAGCATTCCTGAACTTGTCTCAGATGATGCTAGAAGTTTACATATGGACAACTTAATTGAACCATAAGGGAAGCATTAAGCTTGAGCTGACAACCAAATGCAGCTAATGTAAACTAGACCCCTGAAGTCTCATTATGGCCAAATGGAGATCTCACCTGCATGGCCAGTACTGCCTGAAGAGCAATTCAGTTTACTCCAGTGCAGTATTCAGTTGCCTACATGTAGGTGACTGTAGTCATCTGAAATGTCCTACAGTTAGCCCACCTGACTGTAAGTTTCCCACAGAAACAGTGCCATATCTGTCAGCTCTGCAGGTACCTTGCATAGCCTTTCAAACGTCACTAAACATCTCTGTTTAGACAAACGAATCCTGCCCTAGCTCTCCATTGACTGTAATGGCTTAGAAACCTAGTGTATATCTTGACAACTGAAATGAGGTATTTTAATCTGCAAACCACATCCCTAGATAACATTATATTAACTTGAGATGTTGGGCCCCAGGAGAAGGCACATATTTCATAACGTATGTTTGAAAACTATATTGTGCCCTTAGATTGACCTAGTATTTCCTATCTCATCCATTTCTGATCCATTTTCTTTTCAAATTTGCTTGCTGGTGTATTTTCCCTGCTGCCTGCAAAGAGATGATGCCATAGCTTGAATAAACCATAAACAGGTACCCATACTGTGGAGAGCCCTGGATGAAGAGTGGAAGGGTCAAGCAGTTTAAATGAAGCACAAGGGGCTACAGCTGTTCTACTATTAGAGCTTCAACTGGCTCATTCAAAGCTGCCATGGTTACTTTGCCTTCACATCAGGCTGCAGCCTGAAATATAAAATAGAGAACATCATTGTGTTCTGCTAAAAAAAAAGTTCATTTTTTTCCTCATCCTCTTTCTCCTGTAATTCTCCTACTCAGACTCTTTGATGGATAGGGGTGGGGAGGGTGGAGAAAGTAGAATGAAGTTAATTGATGACCGGAGCATTTCTTCTGAGTCACTGGCCCTTTCTTCCCAGTCCTTTATTCTTTTTTCAATTGCTAGATGGTAGCCCGGTAACTAACAGTGCTGAGCAGCTAAAGTCCATAAACATCTTCTGTTTGTAAAAAATAGTTGAGTGCCTAAATATAGTGCGTGGCTCTTTTACTCACTTTTACAGTCTGAACAGTAGAAATTAGCCTCTTTCTAACTCAAAATAAGAAGTGATAAATTATTGTTACAAATACTATAACATCTTGAATTGCTTATTCAATCAAATTATTTTTAGGCTTGTGGAATGATGTAAACTGTGGTTCCTCCAATAAATTTATATGTGAAAAACATAACAGTTCTATTAAATCAACATTTGCTTCTCCATTGCCTCCTGGAGGATGTCCAGAAAACTGGTTTTTCTTTAACAACAAGGTATGTCAACAAGTATCTTCAGTAAATTGTGTAAAGCACTGGAACTGAAAAAAAGGACTGCAGAATTTATGTTTTTTATTATTACAAAATAAATCTGGAGAGTAATCATCCGGTCAGAACATGCTGGCTGAGTGGTTGGGCTTTTTTGGAGGTGACTATACACATTTAACTTTGCAGAGAAATACAGTAAAAGTAGATGTATGCCAAATAAACTTCAGAGAACATAGTTTGCACAGGCTTAAAATACACTGTTACTGTTTAAGAAAACTCTTCTTCCTCCTCCTCTCCTGTTTTACATATTTATATCAGAAACTGAAATTTGTAATGGTCAGTCTTGAAAAAAAAGCCCTTCAGGTGGAATGATTTAGAGAGAATATATTTGGGCAATCCCTTTGGCTTGTACAGGGTTCCCAAAGCTTTGAGTTCAGAAAGATGATGCCAAATGACAATTGTTTTGAGTATAGTTTTTACATTCAGACATGGTCTGGAAGTCCTTGTTGCTGTAACAGAAGAATTTGTACCAATTTGAGTTGAAGCTCCGTTTGCCAAAGGTGGTTGTGTCTACTTTATATACACTGTGCTATTATTACATCCTCAGAATGTTAGGTCAATGTGTCAAAGGATATTTCATACACTTTGGCAGGATGAGCAGTCGTAACCACAGTCATTGGAAGCAGGACAAGCCACAGCAGAGATCGTTCCCTGCAGCTGTGTCACCCAAAGCCACATTTTCTTGGTTTTAAATGATCCCTCTGTAATTGCAGAAAGCAGGTGGATGGAAATGTGAAAAAAGATGATGTCGTTGACATCATTACAATCAGTTCAGATGATTACTCCTGGATTACACCTTGTGCAATGAGAGGGGCTAAGTATCTACCTAGGTAGACATACATACTTTCTGCTCTTGAGCTCTGTCACTTATTCTAGCCCTGATTTCTTTTTTCTGGAGAAATGTACATCCTATAGCTAATTGATATTAGTCACATACAACAGTTCCCATCTAGTTTGAATGAAGTCCTTGCTTTTTTTTTTCTAGTGTTTCAAAATATTTGCTTCCAATATAACAAGAAAGCTCATGTGGCATGCTGCACGAGATGCTTGTATTGATTTGGGAGGAAACCTGGCTACCATACCAAATGAAAAAGTGCAAGGTACATATATGGGCTCTATTGAAAGAAAAAAATATTAAACTCTCACTAAAGAAACTGCTATGCTCTCCAAGATAGATTCTGGGATTATCTGCTGAAAATTGCTTATTAGCCAGGTCAGTTTATGTTTTGTTTTAACTCCAAAGTGTGAAACAATAGCTAAATTATTGCATGTAAGAAATAAAGTGTGTGTTTCTAGTTTTTTCAGTTGCTCAGTTTTCATGAAACTTCCAGTCTGTTTTGAGTATGGTTGCACAGATCCCTCAAACTGACAGACATCTGTATTTTCTGTCTCTCTCACTGGCAATATGATTTGCTGGAACACTATGTGTGCATACACAGTGGGGACGGGGATATTTTCTAATTTGCTCCAGAGCTTTCTTTTTGGCTATTTTTTCAACCTTAATGCTTGTGTAACCTATGTTCCTAGAGATGCTTATCTAAACATTTAGTTAAAGGCAGATGGGCTCTGGAGTGGGAAATGTTATCCTTTTAATACAGTTCCAGTTCTGGGCTTTTGCACATTTTTCCTGTTTCGGGTAAGTCATGGTGAGCTTTCCTTAATGAGAAATCTTTGCTTCCCTCCAGCTTTCCTCTTCTATCATTTAAAGGATGCCACGACTAATGTTTGGATTGGGATGAATGATATCAATGAAGAGTCCACTTTTCTTTGGACAGATGGAAGCACCGTATCCTACACCAACTGGGTTAATGGTGCACCAGAACAGAAACAAAGCTACTTTGACTATTATGACTTTGAAATGTTGACAGACATCACTGTGGAGGTACAGGAAATTTAAGTAACCTGTATATCTTAGGTAGCGAGATGATTTTTCCTAAAAGTGAAGTTACAGAAGCAATAACAAGATGCTGAAACAAGTCCTTTTGTAAGCAGAATGGGGCTTAGCAAATCACCTGATAATGATTCCAAATACACCAAAAATGTTTGGCAGAGGTTCTGAAGAAAAGGGACCTTGTGCTTTCCATCTGACCTATTGCAAAAACTGTTCTCTAAAACAAGCCTGGAGAGGCATATATTACATCCATTCCCCCACAAACTGCATTACCACAAACATTAAAATTGCAACACCAAACACAGAAAAATTATGATAAACCAAAATTAAGGTTGTTGGTGCACCATTAATTTGTCTATGTATATGTCCCATTCCTGGCTAATGTGCTTTACTAGTTTCTGATGGTACAAAAAGACATCTTCAATAAAAAGGCTATTTCTCTGCTGAAATTCAGTCTCTTTTCCAAAGGAGGTAAACATGTAGTTTCTGGGGAAATGATAGGCAGCTAGTCACCAGAGATTTTTAACATCTACCATCAGTCAACTTGCTTATGACTAAAACTTGTTTAAATCAGCATAAGAGAGAAACTTGGATGAAATGCTGAAAGATGGTCATGGCCAGTCTTGAAATCAGGGGAGCCATGAAGGAAATCTTGAAGCAGTTAAACATAAGGAAGTAAAGGGAAAATTTGGTTGTTACTAAAGACATCAGATAGTGATAACTTGATAATGACTACAAACAGCTGGTAAAGAGTACTTGCTTTCTGCAAGATAGTCTGCTTCAGTTAAGATAAATCCAGACTAGTGCTTTTAGTAATAGCTCTTATATTGTTTTTCTCATTGATGGAAATGTTTTGAAGCAGTTCTACATAACTGTAAATCAGAAATGAGAAGACATATATAGGTACCATATTCATTTCTGTAGCCATTAAAGGATTCTTAACAAAACTGGTAAGATTATTTTTTTTATAGACCTTTCTTTCAGACCTTGACTGGTACCAGTTGAAGCCTGGTTCAAATTTAAGGGGTCACTAATAAATACCACGTCAAGCTGTTTGACAGAAACCTAGGAGGCTTGAACTAATTACACAGGTGCTCAATGAGCTCCTGTCCTCTTCCCTCCTCTCCTCTTTTCTCTGCCAGCAGGCTTGCACTAGGAGTATAGGAGCTTCAGCTCACCACCTCCTGATTGCCTTTTGTAATGGCTGTGTATCTTCCCCTCTCCTTCAGACAGATTGTGTCTTCATCATGAAGTCAGATGGGAAATGGAGAGATGATAGCTGTGACAACGAGAGAGGCTATATATGCCAGATGAATTCATGTGAGTTCTGTTTAACCCGGTCTCCTAAATAGAAAAAGTATCTCAGTTAGGTAAGCTGGATATATAACCCAATGTGATTTCTTTCAGCTTTGAGTCTCATTCTGAGTCTCTCAGGCTTCCAGAACTCCACCAGTCTTAAGGCTGTACTGTTTTAAAGTACAATTTGTTCCACAGAAATTGCTGGAGAGGAATCGCTATCTTAATTGGGGTTTTGTACCTAAATCATCAGTAATACTAGAGAATAATAAACGGAAACGGATTTCTTCTCAGTGAAATATGAGGCTTTTAGGCATCCTCTTTAAGTGCAGTGTAAAACCATGCTCTTGCAGTGATCTCTCCATACTCCTGGCTGTCTCTGAGCAGAGCATTTAATCCTCCCTTAATGTTTCTACTGAATGCCATATGATGTCTATCAAAACGTACAGCCTCTTGGCTGTGTCTTTATTGTAGAAGAATATTGATTTTTTTATTTTTTTTTTTTTTCACCAAAATGAGTAATGAATGTTGACTTGCCTGCTGCAGAACTGTAATTATGCAAATCCCTTCTGCCCAGCCATATAACAGGAACGGAGAATGCAAAGCACAGATAACAAAAGAGTTTTGCCTCACCTTTATTACAGCATTAGTAAAAACAGTTCCCCCCCACTTCAATCAGCTCCTGCAGCCTGTTCACTCTCAGCAGAGCTAACCTGTTTGAAAAAACTCCCTCTCCCTGCACAGAAAACATATAGTTTTAGGGAGGCATTTTTAGTTTGGTTAATCCCAGTTACAGCTTTTCTGAATACATTTACATTCTCAAGGGTGGAAATACACACTGCCTGACTCGAATGTGCAGGCTATGTTCAGGCAGCACTTGCAGACAGGCTAACGACTCTGAGTCCACAGCAAGTGGTGATCAATTGACATTAAGTATCAAAGTCTCAGGTTGTGACAACAGGGTACAAGACTAAATGCCTTAAATGTCTAGCCCTAAGTCATCTCCACCAGTGATCTGAAATAGGTGTATACTCAGATATCCAGATTTAGTCAAAATATCTTAAAGTACAGGAACTCAAATATCCACTTTATGAGTCTTAGTCTGCACTAGTCAGGACTCTAGCAAGCATACTCTCTACTTCAGGGCATCCAGGATTTCGTTCTACTTTTTACATTAACAAATTTGATTCATGTTTTACAACAAGTTTGTTTTGAGCTTGTTTTGTTTTGTTTTGGATTTTGGTGTTTTTTCACTAACAAATTGTTCATGAGCTTAAATAAAGATTTTAATACTGGACCTTTTGACCTATTTTTTTATAGCTTCCATGCTAGAGATGAGTGGTATGTTGTAAATTCATGCATTCAGTTTTTCCTCCATAGTTACCACGCAGTCTGAAGTACCAACAACAAATCCATCCTCTGGCTTTGCCCGTTATGGTGACAGTAGCTATTCAGTCATCTCATCTGAAATGCAATGGGAAGAGGCCAGAAAAAATTGTCAAGACAAATCTGCAGAACTTGCCAGCATTTCAGATGCCTACATCCACTCATTCCTGTGGATCCAGATATTGAAATATGGAAAACCCGTATGGATCGGTCTTAACAGCAATATGGTAAGTGCTGGACAGATAGGAGGTGCGGGTGCTTGCTGAGCTCTCCTCCTCTTTATAGACCTGCTGGATGCCCAATTTACAGCAGTGCTGAAACAACTGTACTCTAAATGGCTTTACTGTGTATATGCATAAATTTCTAGTGGTCCTGTTAAAGTTACTCAAAGACTTTCATGCACCAAATGGAGTGAAGAATCACAGAGAAAGTTAAGCAGGAAGCAAGAGATGAAAGCAGAAAGCTGGAGAAACAGTAAAAGCAATAAAGGTGCAGACTGAGTCACAAGCCAGGATGTGCAGCTATTGTGAAGCAACCATTAGCCATTCTGAAACTCTAACTCCGTGCTATATAGAGGACTACTTCTAGCTATTATTATATTAATAAAAGTTATTATGAGTATTAGAGAGATATTTTAAGATTATTTTGACTGTTTAATGTCAAGTAATCTTTACTTACCATATAGCTCCCACTTTTAATTTAAATTAAGCAGAGCAGAGGGGACAAGTTTTCTGTAATTGCTTCTCTTGATATGGGAGTTACTAAATGACCTCAGATGGACTCATCTGAGTTTCTTGCCATGTTACCAGAACTTCTTTGTTTTCAGACTGGCAGCTATTACAAATGGACTGATAACTGGAAAACCAGATACACGAAATGGGCAGCAGGGGAACCAAAGGAGAAAAATGCTTGTGTCTACCTAGATCTTGATGGTACTTGGAAAACTGCATCCTGCAATGAAAGCTACTTTTCAGTTTGTAAGACATCAGATGGTAAGCAAATGAATGTAATAATGTTAAAGACACATTCCTAATTCCATTATTCTGCCTAATGCTAGAGATTTTGCTCTGGCTTGGGTTAAAATTCTCAGAGTACTATGCTTCAGGATACCATCTGCCTCCTTGCAGTATCTGGAGGTTTGCTATTGGGTAATATATGAATTCAGGCACGTGAAAGCCTGTTGTGCAAACAGATATGGCTGCACTGCTTTCATGGTAGTCATAACTGTTTACATAAGATGAAGCTCTGTCTTCAAGGTATTTTGCTCTTTCTGAGACGTGAGCATAACTCACACTTGAGATTGTGTGTAATGTAAGCAAGCGCTGGGAACGTGCACTGACTGTGTGGACTGCAGCAACTGGATAATTCACACACAGGTGTCACTAAGCCAAAGTACAAGCAAGAGTTTCATTCCCATTCACTCTTGCTAGAGCTAAAGGAGTTCTGATGTAGCTGTAAGAGCCCTGGGAATTTGAATGATACTTTAACTCTTTGTACAGGTATGCAGAGGTATGTTTGCTTGTTGTTTTCCCTCCTTGAGGTTTTAAGGCTACATAATATACTCTGTTCCTGATGTGAGATTCAAGATCGATTTTGCCACTTGAAGGTGGCTTCCGAGTTAAACCTTCCAGCCGTACGTTTGGTCTGCATATGCAGTGCAAGAACTGCAGACCCACAGAAGTGAACTGGAGTTGCACACATGATCAGAAACAGAGACTAATTTGGCAGAAGCATGCTCCACTGATGGCTCCTTTGTATAAAGTGACAACATACAGAGACCGAACAGCCATACAATATGGGACTGTGGTATCAATGATTCATTAGCCTACAACAGCTTTCTGTGTAGTGAGAATGCAAATTCGAGATCTATATCATTCATCAGGATTTGCTTTCCTCACAGTACTGCCAAGGCAATTAGTTAGATGCTGCAGGATATGATTTGTTTCCTTGTCCTAAGAAATGTGATTGGAGAAATAAGGTGTTTCACACTCTTGACTGCCTGGCTCTCCCAGTTGTCTGAGCTGGGGGCATGTAGGAATGGTCAGGAGTAGAGGTCCAGATAGTTAAAGCCAGGTGAGAGAAATCCCATGCTATTTACACACATATCCTACCTCATAGGTTACTCATAATGCAATACCAATCTCATACCATATGGCTTCTTTAGCTATAGCTCCTACTGACCCTGTTCAGCTGCCTGGAGGTTGCCCCGAAGCAGCCGAACTCCGAGCTTGGATCCCTTACCGCGGCCACTGCTACTACCTTGAAGCATCAGCTGGGACAAGCTGGGCACTGGCCTCCCTTGAGTGTGCTCGGTTAGGTGAGAGCCTTCATTATCAACTGACAAGATTTGTATGAAAGTTTATACAAAACACACATAAAAATGTAAAAACATTGTTTTAAAATATCATTAGAAATACTTTATTTCCCTAGCAAGCTATTCTAAATCTGGCACAATGAAAATAAACTGACACAAGTGACTTTGTGCAGCCTTCTGTCCTCCCAGGGGCTGCAGCCTCCCCAGGGACAGAGCTCCCCATCAGCTCCTGGGGTGCCATCCTGGGGACAGTGGTGGGGGGGGGGCGGCAAAGCCCCGGGGGTGCCATCGGGGGGACGGGGGGGGGGGCCCCCAGCCACTAAGCACCTCCAGGGCTCTGTCCCCCTGCAAGAAGCAATGGGGAAGCCAACAGAGTAGTGTGCATAATACTTTCAAAAGTTATTGTCTGTACAGACTTGAAAGAGTGAGTCATTCCAGTAGTTGCTCCCATAGGTTACGGTTATTTTCTTGCTAATGCCTTTCAGGTGCTACCTTGGTTTCGGTAGAAAACATGGATGAATCTGACTTTCTGATCCATATGATACAACCACTTGGGAATAAAGTAGGAGGCTTCTGGATAGGACTTTACCAAAATGTGGATGGTAATGTTTTGCTTTCAATAATTAATTGAAAAATGCTTTGCTAATATGAGAAAATTTAGGACAATTGTATTTTTACAAAAAATTACACGGTCTTCTGCTGAAAAATGGGTTACTATTACATGTTGGAAGTAATTTGCTGAGCTACGGAGTTAAAATATCCATGAAATATACATTTTAAATTTTTTTTTCACTCTGTATGTTGCTCTTCAGGCCAGTGGTTGTGGCTAGATAATGCTGCACTGGACTTTGTCAACTGGGAGGAGAAAGAGCCCAATATGGAGCATCACTGTGTCGAAATGACTGCACCATCCGGTTGTTGGGACAACATTGATTGCTCCTCTGAAAAAGGATTTATATGCAAAAAACCCAAAGGTAAAAGTCCTTAGTGACTAAGACCTCAGTGACAAAGCAGATCTGTTTACTAGTAACTTTTACAGCCCTCCACCACATGTCTGGAACTAATTTCTGACAGTTTCGTTTGGCATATCCCACTTTTTTAAACATTTGTAGTTGCCTGTTTTTGCAGACTGTGAGCAATTTGCATCACCGTCTGCATTCGCATGGGAATATGGTAACGAGCTGTATGCATCCTAGGTTGAGAACGAGACTTTCAGAAAACTTTTGAATACCTAACACAGGCATTAGTATGGCATCTGTCAAACACTTGTGCAAACTTATGACTTTCCGAGGAACTAAGTATTATAACAGTTATTATACCTTTGAAAGGAGGAATTAATGTGAATAATCAAGCTTCCTCTTCAAGCTTGTTATAGTCAAAAACCTATATTACTGCCCAGCGTCAAAAACTGGCTTCATATTGGGCCTGATTCAACGATCTTTAAGTCAGCAATGCCTCAGGGATACTAAAAGGCCAGCTGTTTGCGTTGCAGTAATAATATAAGGAATACTTCCCTATTAAATGAAAACTTCAAGTTATCATCATTTCTGGAAAATTTCGTGCAATACTGTATATGCCAGACTAATGTTTCAGAGGTAAAAAAACACATGTAGTACTCCCAAGTGAAGATACAAAAGATATAATTGTCTGAAAGAAAGCACTACCATTTCATTCTCTTAAGTTAGGTGTTACAATCAATCTTACCTAAAAAATGGTAGGTTGCCATCTTTAAAACTTTGTACTTTCTTTTCTAGTAGCTGTGAGATCAAGGTTTAATTTTCCAGCTTTTGCATTGTGCATTGTCCCCAGTAAATCATGGGGAACATCTCTGTCCTATGCTGAAAAACCTAATTCCTGTGTCAAACAATTTTTAGGATTCCTTTGTTCAGGTGAAAAGGTGAAAGGATGTGATTTCAAGACATTGCAAGCCACAGTAGTTCTCAGAAAACGAATTGAAAATTTGGAATTAGCTTTTAATTATTTTGCAAATGTTGTCTTTAATTAAAAAAAACAACAAACAAACAAACTGAAATGTAACCAAGAAACAGTCATCTCCATGCACTCTTAATTTCCATGCTTGGATCAGCACATGCCCATGGCAGTAAATCAGTTAATCCCCATTAAAGATTTATTAAGACCATGCAAATTATATTCCATCCCATATAGTACTAAAATAATAAGGAAGCACTAAAATCCATCCATTGAATCATAAGATGCTCTTTTATGTAACTATTTCCTGCCTTAGTAAGGGATACTGTTGCTTTGTACCTATTAATTTTACATTCCACTCTGTGTTCATTTCATTTTACATTTTGCCATTATATCTTCTCTGAGTAGCAAGTGTGTTTTCAAGCTGTAATGTGAAAGAGCCAAGAGGAGAAATATTTTCTTGGTAATTTAGGGGATCTTGATTCAGAATAGTTTTTCTTACTTTATAAGGATCCAATCCAGTATGGTTAATTTTTCTTCTTTTCTGAGTGTCAAACATTTTTTCCACCTCTTCAACAAAAAAAGATTTTATAAAGGTCTTTTCTTTTTCTTTGTCTCTTTCTTATCATAGGCAAATGGGAAGATTACAGCCTTGATTCAGAGGGCATTTTCTAGGGAAGACATTTAAGAATCTTAAACCTAATTGTAACAGCAGAATCCTGCTGGACATGCAGAGCTTCCTAAAATATGAAATTAATCTCCAGAGTTGTACATCACGTTCTTAGTAAATTAAAATTAATATTTCAGGAAAAATGTGAAAAGATATTTTTGAGTGAACATAGAGTCAGTAATTGAATGTTGGTAGATATAAAAAAAATATAAAGTTTTAAATGAATTAATATTATAGTTTGGTAATGTTAAGTAGGAAGGTAAAACCTTAGTAATGTATTTTTTGCCTCACTTATGTTGCCTTTTATAACAGACATAGATGTTATTAATGCAATGGTAATACTTCAGGGGTTTTTGTTCCTGTATCATTTTAGCAAAACAGTCAAATTTGTGAATTCTAATGAAGTGTCATATTATTTCTCTCTCATATTCATTGAAGTTGAGCCAAGTGGGAGTCCTCTACAGCAAAAAGGTAAGAGCTTTCATAAGAAAATTAACAAAGATCTAAATACAAGAACTTAAAATGAGCTTTCCCAAATCATCCCCTTTTAGAGAACAAGTCCTGCTGATGGTTACTGGGATGCAAGGTTATAAATCACTTGGGGTAATCCCACCGTGCTTTTTATGTGCACACAAGCACTCACAGGTTCTTGGTCGACTGGACTGCTGCAGGGCTAACCCTGAGCTGACAAGCTCAGCAGTGTCCCAACTTGTGACTAACTTTGAGAATAGACACAGAGAGCTTTAATTAGGCTGTTAAAACCTATGTAGATGTATATGAAAATTTCTTCCATAGGTATTATTGTAAATAATGTAACATAAAAATATTGTAAAACTAATTTCCAAATAATTATCATCCCATATCCATATCTGAAGTGTGCATCTTCATTAAATTCTTACAAGCATCCACTGCATGCACTCTATATCACTGTATTCCAGATCCACTAAAACCATGTCAGCTTTAGCAACAGAGACCTGGCTACTGATCAGCAACAATTCAGGGCTCAGATTTACACTGAACAAACTCCAAGTTCAGGCAGGAGAGGACATCTCCATGTTTTTCATGTTGTATGTGGAATAAAAAATTACTAAGGTTTCTCAGTTACATGCATTCATTTCAGGCAACGAAAAGAATGAAGAGACTCACCCACCTATTCATGTCTCTGTTTGGCCACTCATGTTCTTGGCTATTCTCACTCTTCTTGGAGCTGGCATGTCAGTCTATTTCTACAAGAGAAAAAGACAAAAGCAACTATCAACAGATTCTGGCAATGAAACACTTCTAAAATGATGTGTCGGTGACTGAATAATTGGTGAGAAGGGGTCCTGTGGCATGAACCAATTCAGAGGAGTAAGTTACTTGCTGAAATTAAAGGATGTATCTGTTAAAAGTCTCCAGTGAGGATATCTGTAATCTTAAATCTCTTTTCGCACTAGCAGACTCTTTTGTATCATGCATATTTTACAAAATCGGAATTACAGATTGATGTTATAGTTTTGTAACAGTCAAGATGATCTGAAGTGCCTTAGCAAAAACACTAGTGTAAATAACTTGTCAAGAACAAATAAATGTACTGAAAAAGGACTATAAAAGTCAACTAGTGAGAATGAATGTTCAATAAAGTGTGATTACTATTTAGAACTGTATTCCCATGACTTTGTGGACACTGCAAAGCACTCAAAAAATAAAATCTGCCCAACTCTGTTGCAATCTTGAACTTGCTTTGTCCCACGAACTTCACTCCATCAGGGGGTCCTGTGGCATGAACCAATTCAGAGGAGTAAGTTACTTGCTGAAATTAAAGGATGTATCTGTTAAAAGTCTCCAGTGAGGATCTTAAATCTCTTTTCGCACTAGCAGACTCTTTTGTATCATGCATATTTTACAAAATCGGAATTACAGATTGATGTTATAGTTTTGTAACAGTCAAGATGATCTGAAGTGCCTTAGCAAAAACACTAGTGTAAATAACTTGTCAAGAACAAATAAATGTACTGAAAAAGGACTATAAAAGTCAACTAGTGAGAATGAATGTTCAATAAAGTGTGATTACTATTTAGAACTGTATTCCCATGACTTTGTGGACACTGCAAAGCACTCAAAAAATAAAATCTGCCCAACTCTGTTGCAATCTTGAACTTGCTTTGTCCCACGAACTTCACTCCATCAGACGAGCACGTTTATTGTTCCTTATAGCTGTATCCTATTACACTTATAAAATGGTGCTTCATATACTTATCACAGATAACTTTGGGATAGCAAACCTTGCCATTTTAATTTTCTGCTATGGAAAATACAGTTCATACCAGCAAAGGATATTAAGCTCAGATGTAGGTTTTGGTCTTTTTTCAATCTGATAGATGATTGTTAACTGTAGTATGTTCACTAACATGAATTAAAATACTCTTACCCTTGCATTCTTCCTTCTTTTTGTTAATGTTTTGAAATAAATAAACTTTTTATTAGTATAATATCCAGCTTCAGCCTTCCCTGTGAATCAAGTGAGATAAAGAAGGGAGGTGCTCCTGTCTGCACAATAACTCTTTTGTCAATAACAAGGAGGGCTTCTCTCCCCACCACTTTGAATTCAGCTTGAATAAGCACCAACTTGCCATTTTTAAATGTGAGAAAAAGGAACTGAAAAGTAAGGACTGTAGCAGATGATACTGTACTAGGAATCTGCAAGAAGACTAAGTTTAAGATGTTAGGAAAACAGTGGAAAGCAGTAAAAAATTGCATTTAGGTGAGCTGCAAATATAATTTAGACACTAAGCACTTTATGGGGAAGAGTGCTTAGCAGATAGCCCTAGCAAGCAACCTGCCTTCCCCAGGCTGCACAGGGTCTACTGAGCAAGCTGGAAAGCTAAAAGAAATAATAATATAAAGAATTTTCTTTTCTAGGCTCTGGACTCCTGTTTTCTTGGCATAAATACAATCAAGAATTTAGCACAATGGTGAGAACAGATTATTGCACAAGTAAAATGCGGCACGCAAGACACTGACCCCAAAAAGTTTGTAACCAGCATCAAGCTGGTTGGTCATGTGAAAGGGGCAGCTCTGAAGCGCTCAATTCTTCTTTTAGCCTATCCCAGTGTCTGCACTAATCTCTCCGCATCACTCTGCAGCCCTGGGGAGCTGAATCCTCACAAACATCCATTTACACAAGAGGAGGACGAAAGCCCAGTTTGGACCAGAGTGCGGCTGGCACTTAATGAGGCAGAGGAGGGAACTAGGGAGGAATTGTGTCCTCCAGGTATTTTCCTTTGGGATCCCCTCTGTCAGAGCCATTTCATTTTGTGATTTCAGATGTATCAGAAATATGGTTTCATTCAGTAAATCCAGCTTCTCTTTCTCTCCCACCCCATTGTTGTCTGTGGCACCACTCGGCTTTACGACTTTTGGTTCCTCTTGCGAGCCTTGCTCACACTAAGCTCTCCCTGAATGTCACCTGCAAATAGACTAGTTACTATTAAACAATTTATTCAATTCCTATGCTTACTGAAATCCAGACATTTTTTTCTGAAAATGTTTTTTTCTCTTAGTACTTTCTAACAGCCAACAAGTTTAGCCAGTTCTTGCAATAGTTTCCCCTAACACCTTATAAATAAAACCAAAGATAGTTGCTCCTCATATGACTTCTGTTCAGCTTCTATATATATCTCACTACTGACTATTTAACTTCTCGTTTTTTTCAATTTCATTATCACAACTTCTTCTAATTTCACTGATGTAAATAAACAGAAGGAACAGTAGGACTTGTCTGCATGTGAATATTTGCCAGCACAGCTTTGCAGCATAGTTGTACAAGAATTGCCATGCCAATATAAGTCTTCAGATGAGCACTTTGCTCACAGATTAAACAGAGCTTTTCCAATTTAGCTTACCTTTGGCTTTGTCCTGGAGCACCCTCATTAGGAATTTATCAGACAGATGAACACATCCTTTTGCTTGACAAATGTATTCCAGGCAAAAGTTTCCCTCATGTTACAGGGAAGCTCACCACTAGCCTATAGCATTGAACATCTTCACTTCTTTCAGATCTTTGACAAGTACTTATAAACAGCCCAGCCTCAAACTGTGATCAAAGCAAGCAGTGTAACCGTGCAGAAAAACAAGCAATTTTTGGCCCTCAAAGTGAGCAACAATTCATAATGCTCCAATTACTTCAGATGCTGTAAAATTTGCTCTTTCTTCTAGATATGTAGAGCTGTGACATTATAGCAATGTACTGAACCACTGGAGTTTTGTCTCCCTTTCTTTGTGAGATGTAAGGATTAAAACAGAAACCGAGTTTTTAATCAATGATATTTCACTGCAGGTTTCTTGTCACCAACTCTCAAGCTGCTTTTTTAGAGGTCTGTCCTGTGTAGCACCCCAACAACTGACCTGTATATAATACTAGCAAAGTCCCAGAAAAAGACAAATGTCACCACCTCTAGTTACAAGGATGGAGACTTCAGTTTTGGAAGCGACTCGCTCTCCAAAGAGAGCAGTGTTTGCAACATGCACTCTAGTTACTTCAAAATACCATGTGACAGGGTATTTCCTTATTTAGAGTACAGAGCTTCATCCATCAATGCTTTGACACAGAGAAGGACCTGTTACTATCCTCATTCAGAAGGATTTTATACGCTCTCAATCTTATAGTCCAACTTTTGGTAGAGGAATGAAAAGCAAGTTACATTTGCAATGAGTTTCTCCAGGTTCCTAGTTTTTCTTTCCCTCGTGCATGGTTCCTTACAGTCCCTGGGTAAGTAAGTTTCCTGTTGGTTTTGTGTTAAACTAGATATGGAAATGCTTTTCCTTGGGCAGCTTTACAGTTTTAATGCATAGACTAATTATTTTGTATTTGTTATCAGATTTGATACATGATCTAAAGAGTATTTTGGGTATTATCCTGGCAGTTCTTGATTCACAGAATAAAAGAGGGGAGATGTAGGGATGTTGGGGGAAATGGAGGTAACAAGAGCACGATCTTTAAACTGGAATTTCTTTCTGTGGAAATATTAAATCAGATGTCACTGTATGGGAGGGCGATGAGAGATGAGGAAGCATGGAGCTCTTTCCATTTACCCTCCCCATCACACCCATGGTGCAGTGATCAGTCAAAGGGTTTGAGAGTCATGTTTTCATGATAGCTGTGCAAGTCTCTCCTTCTGCTCCAAGACGTGAGGTACGAGAAGGAAGAACTGGCTCCTCCCCTCCAGTCTGACCAAATTAGAAGAATAGTTCTAGTCTGAAGATGCGTATCACTCATTGGGTATAGCTATAGAGAGAGCCGGTAAAGCAGTAATGCATGTAGAACTGGGTGGATGAATGTGTTTGCATGAATGTGATACTGAGAGTGCATATCAGAAATTTCAGGATAAAAGAATGCTCCCATAATACTGTGATAGTTTAAAAAGATGAAGCATTGCCAACCTTAAAGAATTGGAGTTGAGGGTGAATCTGCAAGACCTCTCCAAGTGCAGAAATGTGCAATTGAAACCTAAAATTTTTACTATGTAAATATACTCATGACAACTTGATCTGTATTCTCTCTGGTCAGCTATCCTTTTTCCTTAAACAATTAATGAAAAGATGGAGTGATAAAAAAACCCTATTGAGCCATAGAGAATACAACAATGCAGTGAACTCATTGTCTGAGATCTACTTGTGGTTTTTCTGTCTACAGGAACCACAACTTATCAGCAACTTATCATCACAGAATTTGACTTTCCTGCAAGGTGTATATATCAAACCCTAAACAGAGTATTTAAAGCCCAAATTTTACTAAAACAACATTTTATTTTAAATCTCTAGCTACACAAGGGGGAAAAATGATAAAAATTAATTAAAAAAGATGGTGTGACGTCTCAATTTAGATAGATATACTGATAAATAGATCCGTTTATCATTTTATGTTTATTTTCATATGACCTCTTAACCCTTTATTCCCCCTAGATACCTTTACATTACAAGGAAATGCCAATGGACAGCCATGTGTATTCCCTTTCAAATATGAAGGCAAACAGTACAATGAGTGCACAGATGCTGGTAGGTCAGATGGCTGGCTCTGGTGTGCGACAACTGCAGACTTTGATGCTGATAAACTGTATGGATTTTGCCCGCTAATAAGTAAGTCCTGCATTTTATTTGTTAACTTGTCATGAAATGTTGTTGAGAAAACTATCTAGTGAGCTACTAGGTTCTTTATCAGCTACCAGCTGCACAAACACCTTGTCGGAGTAGGACAAATGAAAATCAGCTGATTGAACATTAGCCCCAGTAGCCAAGTGCTCCCTCTATAG